TGCAGCTTTATCCATTTTTATTGTAAAAGAAACAGAGTTCAGACCGTCCGGCTGCGCGTCATTTGTTGGATGGCTGCCACAGACTAATGCAGACGTCCCACTGGGAGACCAGAGAAGAACTATACTTTGATTCACCAGATTGTGTTAAATAGTCCAGCTGTTGCGATTTGAAAGATAGTTACCTCAGAAGTGAAATAGAAATGAACTTGGCATTTATTCCTCAAACCATTTTTATACTGTTTGGCAATCAGCTTTTCAGAGGTAGCATTTTATAAAATAACTCTCACCGCTTAAAAGTTTCATTCACTGTAATGTTCGAAATGTCCCACCTTTATATTATCAGTAAAATTAAGCTTGAGTGATATGCAGAATTTGCATGAAATAAGCATTTCCCCCTTCATTTCATGAGCTTTGATTGTATTCAATTGAGCTCAGAACCACGTCTATTAGGGCTCTTTTGGGCATTAGTTAATTTGAATTGCAGCCGAAATGTTAGCTAGAATGTTGTTGAATATAATTGGGATGTGGAAAGTTGATTTTGAAAGGAATTTCATTGAATGCAAACAATGATGTGCTTTTTAAAAATTAGAATGCTGCGCTTTCATCTCTTGTAACCCAGTCTGGGAAATCACTGAGTCCCTTTAGAAAGTTCAGCTTTAGCAATACCGTTTGCAATTGTTCTGATTCTTCTGGTACCAGTTCAGTTTGAAGTCAACTCTTTCCCTTTACCAGCAAGTGGCCCCACCACCCGAGCCCCGCGTTCTGGCTGGCTTGCAGCTGCGGAAAGTTGCTGCTTTCTAAAAGGGTACCCAAGTTGTATTTGGCCATCAGGCTTGGTAGGGTGGTATAGATTGGTATATTGTCTCCTAGCTTTTATTTTGCTTTTTAGTTTCTCTTTTTGTCTTGAAATAGCCCTTGAGCAAATGATCTAAAATGACCCATGAAAATATCTATTTGAATGGATCATAAATGACTTACCAGTATGTTGTGATAAGAAAAAATATTGGACAAGAAATCAAGTTTCCACAATTTTAGTCCTGAATCCATTGTTGATAGGTTGTATGCCCTTGGACAAATCATTTAACTCGCTTTTCTTTGGTGTCTTCATCTGACAAATAAAAAGGTTGAATTAGTTCATGTCAGTGATCCCTTTCAGCCTAAACATCCCATGATTTTGGTCTTACTTTATATCACTTATAAAATTTAAGTTTTACCTAGAGACTTTGGAGCATACAGAAGCTCTCCATTACTTTTCATGAGTACTGACTTTTAATTCCTTATTTGTGATCATTGCTCTTAGATGGAGAATTAAAGTAGGAAAGTTGAACAGAAGAATAGTATACTGCAGATCCTATTGGATTGTTGCATTTGAGCACTTGGTATTTTTATCCTGGGGGAGAAGCTTCAGATTACCTTCTAGAACCTGCCACTATGGCTGCCTCAGCAAGAGCCTGGTTTCTTGGCACCATCACTGATCGGGCTTTCTGGCTCTTTCCATAAGATGGGGATGAAGCTAGAGGCCTCGGAGAAAGGCCTCTCATTCCAGAAGGAGCCCTGGGCAGCTCCCTGTGGGAAGCAGGAATGGACCTAATGTTGTCAAATCAGGAGGCACTACAAATCACAAAGGAAAAAAAAAATCAAGGAATAGGTTGAAGAGACAAATTTTATATTTACAGATCTGAAAGATGCAGCTGAAAACAGGGATTCAGAAAGAAAGAAATGAGTAAACATGCCAAAGTTAGCCTGCGTCATCATTATCATGTTTCCAGGAGGAGGTGCCTTTGGTAAACAGTGTGGTGCTGTGGACAAAGCAGAAACAGGAGACAGCAGCTTCTGATCCTTGTTCTGGCTCTGCCACTGCTTAGCTGTGTGACTTTAGGCCAGGCTCTTCCCCGTCTCCAAACCTCATTCTCTTCATCTGTAAAAGGACCAGTTGGACGGGATGATTGCCTTAGTCCCTTTTAGCCTTAACCCATTAGGATTCCAAGTCAGTGGCCATTATCCTTGAGAAACAAGTTTCTCTGACTCTGAATGCACAGATGCAGAGAAATTGCCCACTGTGCCACGTTCAGTGACAATCAACAAAAGAGTTCTCAAATTGTAGCCTACAGGTGACGTAATAATAGATTAATCTGCAGCTGAGAAGTTTACTTCAGGAAAGAAGAACAATTCTTTGGACTGAGACAATTTCAGGCCATTGCAGCCTGAAAGTACAAGGTTTCTGAGTTTTTCAGTTCAATCAACATCCATCTGTTGCTGTTGTGGAGCCCTGAGAGCACTTCCTGGAAGTTGTCAGCCTCCAGCTGATGCAGAAAGCTTTTGTAGGATGTGTTCACCACTCCTTCACCCGCAGATACACCTAGGCATGAAACACATCCATGGTGGTTCTACAGAAGAGATGGAGGCTAGTATGAGTGGATGGAAGTTGCTCACCTAGAATGAGATGAATACTTCCTTTGCATGTTTAGAGTAGATTGGCCGGCTTACATAACAGACAGTGGGCTCAAACCCAAGGTGGAGCCAGACTGGTGATTTGACCTGCAGACTTTGTTGTGGCTTTGAGTGTAACAACTTAGCTAGGCTGGAATTTCATTTCCTAGAATTCCCTTGCCCATTTGTTTCCAGGTAAGCATTGGACATGAGCAATTTGTATGAGGTTTAGAAGGCAGAAGTGACATAGTTGTTTTTTTTTTTTTTAACACTCTGAAGGTCCGAGTAGAAGAGGTATTGTTTCAGTTCACACATGTAGTCACCTAGTTGGCATGTGGCAGCAGCTGGCCCCCAGAGTCTCCAGTTCCCTCTGTCTCCTCCTCCCGCTTCTCCAAATCCAAGGCCAAGTGTATGTGCAGTTCCATGTGGAAGGGCTCCAGTTTATCCTGCAGGTCATTTGCATTATCAGGATTGGAGATTGTGAAAGACAGAGACAGCTTTGGTTTGTCTTTAGTCTCTTGCCTCTTTTCCCCATCTTTCTTTTTACTTGCCAGAACGGCTGTCTTCAGGCCTGGCATGAGATGCAGAGGCAACAGACTTCTTGTACACAGACTGCCCAACTAGCTCTCTCCACTTCCTGGGGCCTAATTCATATAATAAATCCCTTATATCACTCATAGTGGTTCTGCTTCTCTGAATATACCCTAATGGATACAGTCTTGCAGATGTTGCCTGGGTCAGAGAAAGTCAGACCAGGTACTACTGGAGAAACTGCATCCCACACTGATTCCCACAGCACAGTAACAGACATCCTGAGAAGTGGATCCTTGGCCAAGGTAGATGGACAGTGTCATGGTGTTTTCTAATGACAAGGGTGTTGCCAAATTGAGGCAAAAATAAAGGACACTGTCCTCATTACAGTATAGCTTTCCTTTCAGGCTCCTGCTCATCTCTTTGCTTTTACCACCTCCAAAGAAAACAGAGTTATGTGTTAGTCACTTAATGATGATGGCAAAATCACACAGTTCGTATAACCAGAGAGCCAGATAGAGTGGTTTTCAACCATTTGGACAAATCTTATAGTACTGGTCAGAAAGTGGTAAAACTATGGTCACTGGGTTTGTTTTTTTGTGGCTGGACCATGCAGGCCACTTTCTTTCAATAGTTGATCATTTGTTCTGTTGTTTTTGTTGTAAAGGAAAGACGTCTAGACATACTCACACCAAAGCCTAGGTTTCTGCCCATTCATTCTGAGCCTGTCACGATTCCTTAGTATTCACTCATTCATTTACTCCACAAATGGATCTGCACTGGGTGCTGGAGTATAACCGTGATGAAAACTAAGCAGTCTCTGTGTCATTGATGCTTACGTTTTATTTGAAGAGACAGACATTCAACAACTAATTGCACAGTATTTAATTATAACTGTGGTAAGTCCAACAAAGGACAAATATTAGGCAGTATGAGAGTGTCTAACTGGCAGCTCTGACCTGCTGTAGGAGTCAGGGACTAGTAGAAATCAGCTCCAGGAACTACTAGTGGAGCAGTGGGCAGACCCTGGCCAACAGTTCACCAGTGCATGTCCTGACTTCCAGAGGTAGGACAGGGTGGTGCTGGTTCATGGTTAGCTTCCTGGCATTTGCCAAGACCAGGTAAGTCTGAACAGCCCTGCCTTGCCTCCTACACACCCCTCAGGGTTCAGGCACCAGGTCAGCAGCAGCACTTCAGATGGTGGCTTCTGACCGTGACTTCTGAGAGGACTAGGTACTGACTGCCTAAGTTCCTGACACATGGCAAGAGAAGAGTGTTTCAGGACATCTCTGTTTCCACGAGGAAATTCATTCAGCTGGAAAAGCAATAGCTTCTTGCATCAGCATAGAAGAGAGGAAGCCTCTGTGGGAAAAGAAACTGCATCAGAAATTCAATAAGAAATTTCTCAAGACACGATTCTCCTTTTTAGAAAAAGTCTATGGTAACTCAGCATTTTAGCTTATTCTCTGGATTCTTCCATCTGCCCTTGTTCCTTCCCTCACCCCTCCCCAGGTCTGACTAGATTTCTTGTCAGTAATGGCAACAGCTGGCACATCTCTCAGCTGTCCATCGGTGTTGGGGGTGATTTACTTCTCTCATTGAGGTGGTCTCCTGAGAGCTGATCTGCAACCAGATGTACCCAAGGACATGGGGGAGGGGGTTAACTGGCTCCTCCCGGCTCAGGAGTCTGGGCAGCAGGCAGTGGGGAGGTATGCACAAGGTATCCAGGAGCTTTGCACTTCCTGAGAAGAGCGTGTCTTTAAGCAGGTAGGTGCGTTTGGCTTTTTAACCCTTCCATAGTTAATTGCTCTGACTTTTCTGCCTTCTTTCTTCTGGCCTTGTGCTCCTAATATGTAATCTAATAGCTTCTTCATCTTTTTTTTTTTTTTTTTAATGGCTGGCACCTCAGAGACCACTTTGTGCATGTTGATTAGACTTAGAACATTTTGGGTTTTTTGCTCATCTGAATCCAGGAATATGAAAGACCAATTTTTTCTCTCTCTGCTTTTTATTTTTTTGTTTAACTGTTCATCCCTTAGGCCTCCCAGTAACACTGGATGCAGGAGACAGTATGTTGGCAGTGAAAAACAAGCTGAACCAGTTGTAGTTTTAGATCCTGTTTCCACATATCAACCGCAAACCAAAGACCAGTTCGCTGAAAAAGATCCAACTCAACGCGAGGATGATGAAGGCGAAATTAAACCAGAATACAAAGAAGACAGTGTTGAAAAAATAAGAGACACAGACAGCTCCAACTGCTGATCCATAAACCAGAAGGGTGACATGTTTAGAAGTTGTTTCCAATAAGCACATGATTAGTTTTGTTGTATTGGCAAGGGCTATAGACATTCTGTTCTTGTCACTGTATTCAGAACACTGGGCCAGAATATAGGTTCTTTTCTGATGTCACTTTTGTCAGTAGTTCACCTATATATATATATATATAAGTAATCTGTTTAGCAAAATATACATTCTGTGTAGGGTTTTGTTTTTTTTACCTTTATAGGGATAAGAGTTTTTCCTAATGACTGTATTAAGTGTGACTTCTTTTAGAAGGTTACAAAAAATTCGGATGATATCTTTTTAGGTAATGTGCATACCACTAATCAAATGTGATGCTGAAAGTTTGCAGTGCTTGTGGAGAAACAGAACTGACCGATGTAAGGCAATTTAAAAAGCCCCCAAAGAAGCTTCTGTTTTGATTCTGACCCTCTTGTTGGAGAAACTGCAGTAGCATGAAAATTGTTAGGCACTGTGGCATACAAATTACTTTCTAGGATATACTGAGATAAGCTTAAAATTCAGGAGCTGGTATCAAACTAGTAGTCTCATAGTCAATGTTAGTTACACATATGTTGACAGTGGAATGAAAATACCTGCTACTGATTGTGTCCACAGCCTCCCGAGGGCTCTGGTGGCCTGAATGCAGAATGGAGGTGAAGTCCAAACCTTGAATTCCATGGAGCGTTGTCTTGATAAACCATGTGCTCTGTGCTGGGAGTTAACTGTCTGCTCACGTACTAATGTGGAACAAGTACCATATTTTATCGTAGTTCTTATGTACAGTGAAGATAAGTGACAAGCACACAATTTTCTTGCTTCACTGCTGTTCCACATTACACAGGTTTGTTTTGTTTTGTTTTTTTAAAGAAATTAAGTGGTAGTTAGTCTCTAAAAATACAATGTTTCAGTCTACCACAGTGAATAAATAGAAATGTAATCAGGGATTTAAAAAAAACTTATGCAGCTTTTCAAAGTTGATTGTTTCAAAATTGGTGTTTATTTAAAATAAGTGGTAATGTATTTGAATTCGTTTTTTTATGACAATGATTCAGTAATGGTAATTTTACTATTAAAGAAAGTGAAAGGTTTAGTTTTGTTAGCATGGCTCAGCATGTAGCTGTCAGGTGGTTCTCACCTAAGGGCAAAAGAAAATGATAGTAATAATTGCAGTGGTTGTATTGTATTTTATTTTTGCACGTGTGCTAAGCATAGGCTTGAAGAGGTGGGTAGGCAGGTAAATGTAATTCCTAAATTTGGAGATAATTCTCTTTCCGTAGGTTCATTGTGCTTGACTGTTTCCACGTTCCTCCAGTGATGACTTTACAGTTAGTAATCGGTTTACTTAGGGGGAATTAAAATGTAATGTTTGTCAACTGTAATTTTCCCTAATTGAATAATGCTGCCGTGTGATACAGTAACTACACACTGCGTTAACTCACTGAAACGAGTTCTGTTCTGCTGTGATTTGAACTCTCCTCACCACGCTTATTAAAAAGCACCAACAGTTCCCCACTAAAGGTCAGTTGTGGTTATTGACATTTTTGGTTTAGTTCCCCAAATTTGACATTCTTTAATAAGAAAATTGTATAAGAGTTGATAACCTTATTCATTTTTAATAATTACAAAATGGTTTATTTTGAGGAATTTTATTCCATGTTTCTTCATGTTCTCCTCTATCCTGTGTCTGTCTTCAGTCTGCTGGCATGTGTCTTACACACATTTAGGAATATAAAAAAATGTACACTTGTCATTCCATATTTCATCACACATATCAACAGAATAATGCAGTTATAAAAATACTCTCATTTCCAGGGTAAGAAGTTAATCATTTGGTGAGATATGTTAGCTGGACCAGGCAACAGTAAATGGTATTTTGAACGTGTTCCTGCCTTTCTAAGCTGCCTACTTTCCTTTACCATTATCACAAAGCATTTAAAATTAATTTGGTTTAAAGGTATTTGACGTAGGATTTTACTCACCTTTTTCTACCTGCAGTTTTTCCCATGTCACATCAGTTTTGAGGAAGTTTTGCCCCTGCTTGGGCGCCATTGTCAATAAGCAGTTAGTCTGGGATAGAAGAAACAAGACTAGTGCTTGTATCTTCAAGGCATATTCATAGCTATTTACGCAAAAAAATTATAGACATCCTACTTAAACTGTTTTAAAGTTGGAAGAGACTGCCATCTTCATATTTTTGTTTTCTCTAAAAAGTTATTTATTCTCCCTTCTGTTTTAGAAATATGAATTACATCTCATCTGCTCCAGAGTTTTATAACTAACATTGATGCATTTTTATGGCCAGAGTGAGGCAAAGGAATAGACGTACTTTGTGTTCTTGCTATTAAAGAAAAAGAAAATGTCTCTCTTTTTTCTGAAAGAATAAGAATTTAATTATAATTCTAGCCCCCTTTTGTATCGGAGCTAGGCTCAGATAAACTCCTCGCCCACAGTAGTTTCAGCGGCTGGTCAGTCCTGTGGTCGGGCTGATTGGCAGGGGTCAACAGGGCTCGAAGCACCCGGCCTTGTTTGGCCTGAGTGAAAAGGATGCATGTTTTGGCTCTGGATACTCACCAGTAATTCCTCCTTCCTTACCTTCTTTGTTAACAGTAAAATGTTTGTTGGAAATGGGGTAGGGCAGGTAAAAACTATTGTTAATTATCTTTCCAGACCATTTTTAGGTGGTATGTCAGGTAAATGATACTCCATATCACAGAATCTTAAAAACAAAGTTTGGATGATTTTTCTAAATGCACACTATACCTGTTTAATCACTTTCATCATGGAACAACTTCAGTTTGTGACAACAAGTTGTGGAGAGTGAATAGCCATTTGTCATCATCACTGACCTTAGAAGGATCATCAAGCATCCTTACTTAAGGATTGGATTGAGGTTTCTTCCAAGCACTAACCTTTCCCAATCCCGTTGTCGTTTTTTAATATGGGATATGACTAGTTTCTTTCATCTCTTTTACAGATAATATCTTACATACATGTTCTATATCGATTATTACATATTATATAATGGAAAGAGAGAGAAACAATAGAACAGTGCTTATCACTTTAAGAAATTTAAATTAAAATGCTGCCTATCCCCTAGTGACCCTAATCCTCAAGTGGGGTAACAGTGAACAAGCTATGCTCTGTGTTGAAATTAAAGTGCTGACCTGGTCAAGGTAATAAATCACCTCTTTGGTTAATTTAATTTAGTTATTTAGTTATTAACTTTGTTGTACATTTTTGCTCTGGTTTCATTCATTTAATTATAGTTTATATCACAGTTCCAGGGTGACCTTTCATATGATCTCCCATGTTTCCTGTGTGTGTGTGTGTGTGTGTTAGTGTGAGGACGTGTGCAAAGGCTGTGTGAACACCCCCATCATGTTCCTCCTGCCCTTAAAGTGAACGTTCCTTCCCGTTTCTCATACGCCAGTGTTTGTTGCTAAGCGTCAGGAGAGGCAGCAGCAGCCACACACTGGGACACAGTTCCCCCAGCTCAGAATCATACCAACCGACCGATTCTGCCCCGTGCTCGGAGAGTGTGCCACTGAGCCAGCGTGAAATCACTGCTTCCAGAGCAAGGCCTCAGCTGTACCGTAAGGCTGTTAAGTTCCCCCATTAGGACTTTTCAAAAGGAGAGGACCTCAGTGTGCTTAGCAAAAGCTTACAGAATATATCAGAAATCTAAGCTGAGCCAACCCCTCACAGGCTGGTACGTAGCAATTTCTATAATTCTGGGGGAAAGCAAATAATAACATTTTAATAGATAATCTAAATCATATAAAGCAGTTGGACATTATTCTATCTGTAGCTATGTGTTTGAATGAGTTTATTTCTGTTATGCCCTGAATACTGGCTTACAAAAGAGGCAATTCAGTCAAGCTATATGCTGCATTGTTTTTAATCACCTGTTGAATGCTGTCGTATGAATAACTGGGAATTTAGTTACCTTAAGAATATTTATTCATTCACTGATGTGCTTATTCATTTATACTCGTTCTTGTTCTGAAAAGGATCTAAGGAGACCCACAAGGATATAAATAATATAAGAAAAACTAACATTTAGAAAGAGGAGGGGAGGGAATTAGGGAAAAGAGAATTAAGGGGAGGAATGTAAGAGAAAGCTGTTTGGCTGTTATAAAAAACCATGAAGCTCTCCTACTTCTGCCTGAGGTCGGCTGCAAAAACACATCTGTGCTTTCTAGCACGAATATGTAAGATAAACACTGAAGATGTACACCTGCTTCTGGCACAGACAGCTCCTGGTGTAAAAGGTTTTTGTTTTCAGGGATGTTCTGATTTGTAAAGCAGGAGGTCTTTGAACTGAGTGTGGAGTTTGGCAACAAAAGTATTGGACTCTTTTACTACGTCAGGACCCTAAAGATTGGACGGGAAGCTGCTATACAAACGAAATCCCCATGAAAATTTGATAGCTGGAAGACAAAGTTCACAGGTATAATTTCAGGCAAAAATATTATATATGTATTTTACCAAACCTTGAAATTAAAAGAATAAAAAGATACACAGTGAAGTTTTAGAGCAAAACCAGCACGAAGACATACTTCAGATCTAGCAGTCTTAATAATTAATACTAATGGTGGGGCTGTAAACTGCAGTGTGGACAGCCTGATCCAGAAGATGCTCATGTTCTGGCTGATTCCTCTACAACTTCTGTGGGGAAGATGGGCTGTGGGGCCTCAGGCAGCTCACCAGCCAACGCGGCCGCAGCCTCAAGTGCCTCAGTGGCCTTTTCGGCTTCCTCATTCAAGTAAAAACTGTGTTCTTCATTGAAACCTATTAAAAAACAACAATAAAGCTTACTGTCTAATCCAGTGGTGCCAATTTTGACATTATTTGTTACACGATTTAAAGGAGATCATCTTCAGAACAGTCCAGGGGTGTCACATCACCATTAGAAAGGATTCTAGAACCATTTTAAACTGGGCCTGACTTTGGTTATACATTAACTGTGCGATACACTGGTCTGTTCAGTTTGCACGGTACCCTTATACAACACCCTGGAACATTTGATGTGCAGTGGACTTTGGGCAGAGGCTTGGCAGAAAAGGATAAGAGGAAGAAGATGACCTAGAGGAAAGGCCAGCACACCGCATGCATACAAACCATTGCCAATTTCTATTCCAAAGTAAATTATTGCAGACTTAGACCATTCCAATTAGGTCCATGGAGACAGTGATGGTGTTTTAATGGCTGAGCTTTTGCCAGGAGTTCCTACTCAGTCTCTCAGTTGGAGAGATTGTTTTCCCAGTTTTTGGTCCCCTTAACGTTTATTGAGCACTGCCAATATCGGAGAAATTCTCATTAATCTGTTAATCCATTCTGGAATGCTCAGAGGCCAGCACTGTCACCAGGGAGGGGCTGGACCTCTCGTCGCTAGAGTCCTTTTTGATGCCCTGAGGCAGCTATTTCCCTTATGGCGAAGTCTGGCTGGTCATTTAAGGAACCTAAGGCTTCCACAAGTCAGGATGACCAAAAAAATAGGCGATATGTAGGAAGAATATATTTTTACCTATTGGAAAAAACAAGCCCTTGTATTACAGACTAAACACCACAAGCTAACTTTTGACTGCCCTTACAAGCCTCAGAAAAAGTCTCCCAATTATGTGTATCTTTCATGAATCTTAAGGTGTGTTTCAAGATCATTACATATGTTAAACATGACAAATTTATAATGACAATTTCTATTGGTCACTATTTTTTAATGCATATATTGAGTCACAAAGTAGGACTGCTTCCTTGCTTTCCTATCCAAGAATTGGTATGCTCCACAATACATTCTGTAACACATCTATCTCATTTAATAGATTTCATTTATAGCATCCAAGAAAATTTCATATTTTAATAGCACTACTTAAATAACACTTTTTTTTTTCCCAGCATATCAATTAATTCATCCTAAAATACAAAATAGTTTTAGGATTACAAAGACAATAACTATTGGTCTCTTTAAATGTGTCTGCATGGTGTGTACCAACTTTTGGCCATCAGAGTCAGTAATATAAAGAGTAAAAATGCATATGTGGGGTGTTTCTCTTCAGTTAGCCAGTACACAAGGTGCTTCTACCCTTGCAGGTTTACAGAGGTTTCATTTCATAAATGACTGGTTCATTTCTCGAGACGATAGCCTTTCCAAGGTACAACGTTAAAGTTAACATGCCGCCAACTTATCAAGTTGAGTGAGTTGTTTCCAAGAACCATCAGCAAAACATCTGCCTTTAACTTTCATGGGCTGTGCAAAGAAACCTGAATTATAATTTGGACCATCACAAAAGGTAGGCTCGGAGATTCCAATCGATTAATTCTATTGAAAAGCATCACGCAGCCTATTCATCAAGAAGAAGGGCGAGAGCTGTAAACATTCAGGTAAATAGATAATCCATTAAGACAACAATATACATTGTGGCAAATGCCATCCTAGTTTTGTCAGCACTTATCTCTATTCTTTGGATTCCCCTGCCCTCCCACCAGGGGACTTCTACTCCCCCTCTTCAATCTTTGTTCTCTTATTCATGGCGAAGTGAAAACAAAGCAAGAAAGCAGCACATACCCAGTCTTCCATTCTGGACAAGTTCTTCCTCTATAGTGAGAAGGCGGTTGTACTTCGACACCCGTTCACCACGAG